AAAAATATAAGATATTGAAGCAAGAATAGGACCTTCACTTGAGGCAGTAATTCCTCGGGTAGCGGCCCTCCTGAGTAGCATATGAATTCGAGAAAAACATCAGCAGCACCGGGATCAAGTCCAGGGTCAAGAATTATCTTTACTAGTTCATCTGTCACTTGGGATTTGTCATAGTAACACTGAAATGAGATCCATGGGAATCAACAATTATACAACTGGAGAATGATTCATAATTTTCAATTTGTAGAAAAAAAAAAAATTCATAATGAAATAACGCTGGCAAAGCAACACTTGAATTTCCAGAAAATTAACAAATATTTCCATGCATAAAATCAGTATTCAACACTTCTTGTTTCATACTAAAAGGTTTCCTTGAAACAATGTTCTTCTGAAATAGCATATCGAAGTTGATAAACTATAGGAAAATAACCATTTTTCTGTCATATAACAATAAACATGCCAGAACATTTCTTGTTGATACTTTTGAGCATGAAATACAGATTCCGGTAGGTGAAAAAGTGTGCAACATACCCGACATCACAGTTTTTTACCTGACAAAGAATGTTCCTCACTGACTCTGGTGTTGCAACAATTTTGAAAAATAACTTGCCAAGAGCAGTATTCCTAGAGACACCAGAAAAGGGGCAAAACTGTCCGAATAACCAACCAGACATACATTATAAAAGTTATGAGTTAAATTTTAAACAGAAAAACAAAACCACCTTAGCAAATTCTGGAATGATTTTATTAGAGGCCTTCCATACCACGGTTGTTTAGTTATGTGTAACATACGAAGAGATATATTCAAGAGAATAATGCCTTTGCAAAGTGTAGGATCCATGACAGCTGCCTGAAGTCCCACAATACCTGCATTTCTAACCATCAAGAGATCCTATATGATTCATATTAAGATTAAATATTCAAAAGGTAGAGAGCAAATATGAGTTGTCGGAAACAAGTGCTCACCTTGTATGCTTGAATCCTAAATCCATCAACCTCATAAATAAAATTAAAATCTCATTTTACCCCATAATAGGCTCTTTCCAATTATTTGTTCATACAATTCAGTAAAAAAACTATCTAAGCAACTAATATGAATAATATCTAATTTTCAACTCAACACATTCACCATCAAAAGGAATAGGCTGAATTAGATCTTATATCTAAAGTGAGTTGTATTTATATTTGGAGAGTAACACAACATTGAATTACATACTATACAGACTGTTAATCTACAAAACACGCTCAGAAGTTTACATCTTGAATAATGTGATTACAAAAATACAAGTTTCTCCAAAAGTTCTCCTATTCGAAGTATTTATCAATTCCCTCCTGAGAAACAGTAATTGTATCTATGGCCATGCATGCATGAAACAACTCAGGTGGTCCACAGAAATTCAGTATGCCCATCGTTTATTAATTGGACCTGCATTTATTTTCTTGTATTAAATGCCTTTGGTTGTTTTCAACCGTCATATTTTACTGGCTCTCTTCCTATAACCTTCGTGGATAATAATTCGGTACTTATATTAATCATTGCGAGAAACCAGATTGAGAGGAATACATCAGCTTGTGCGTTTGTACTTTATCAATTATCATTGTTCTAATCTCAATGTAGCATTGCCACGCAAACCATGAGGATATCCAGAAAAGAATAAAATAGAGGAACTTCATTACAGAATATAGAGAAGGTAAAAATTTATTTCAAAGGTTCATTTGTTATCAATTATGACCTATAATGAAAACAAAACTCACTAGTAAGTGATACTAGAGATATATATTATTTGAATCCCGGTAAACTTTATTCAGTTAAAGATAAAGTAGTCATCTCCTATAGAATTGCAGACAAAAAAGGCTTGATCCTTCACAATTTCCACACAGAAGTCATTTAGCTGGCTGCCCCATGTCTCAAAAGTATAAAAACTTTTAACTTGGAGCTTTTGTGGATTAGGTTTATCTGAATAACCATATCCAAGGAGATCAATTGCGTACACCCTATGTGACTGTGCAAGAACTGGTAAATTCTTCCTCCAGTGGTCACTGGTAAGAAGATTGGAGACAAAATTTTATCCAATTTAACTAAAGCTTTCAAGATTTAGTATGATCTCTCAGTGTATGCTCATGCAATGAAATATATCAAGACCTTCACAATCTTATGCAAATGAAGGACCAGACCAATATTTAATGACCAAGTACAATGTCCTAAAACTAGTGGTTGATAAGAGTTTAAAATCTTCTAGATAAATCTTACAAGTTAAAAGATCAGCTATGGTTAATTAGAGGTAGCATAATCATCCACAAAATAAATTGCTTAACCAAAATGAAACAGAATTATTTTCTTATATTGTGTTTCTATCATTGTAAAATCTTGTACTGTATCTAAAACTTGTATACTTTGCCGATAATAATATGTCACATCGTAAAAGCTAACTTGCCAAAATACATATCTATTAACCTGCATGCATCTTATTATGCTTTATTCATGCAAATACTTGAGCCTCGTGATAAGACCGAGTATTATATCATAACACGAAAGGATACATAAAATGGATAAGTTCATGTTGCTATTTATTGTGATATGTACCTAACTACAAAGTTGTGTTGAAGCAAATTTGAAGCAATGTAGACCTGTTTGCTCCGAAACCATGAACCAAGACCAAGGCAGGCCCGCTACTTCCAGAATATTGGTAACGAATAGAATAACCTCTCCATTTCCATTCACTGAGAAGCAAAACATAGGACAAAATGAACATCAATGTCCCGTAACAAAAGTTTGTTCTATAAAACAATTATTGGTGTCTACTACCAGAGATTCGATGTGTAATTTCAACACTCATTGTGTATTTCCTGAATGATCTAATTTTCCAATTAAGAATTCCATTTTTAATGAAGGGGAAAAGAAGCAGAACCTAATAAGTATAGTCATGCATCGGAGCTTTTACAGGTACTTGAATAAACATTATCTTAAATATTCTTCAAACACATATTATTTAGATCAAATGAATTACTGATAGTAACAACACCAAAAAGGTATTATCGAACAAAAGTCAAGCTCGTGGTTCAATTTTTACAAGTAGCATGAAATTTTTTGCTCTGCTTAGATTACATAAATATATGACAGACTAAAACCAGTCATTGAGCTATCAGAGACCACTTATCCAGATAATCATGAACTTAAATCTTCCGACTAATGAATGCTACATTTAATAAATTTCCTTTCTTTCAGATAAAGTGATATAAGTTCCTATAAAGGACATCTTTGAATCTTTCTCACCAGCAACATCTCATCAACTTTTCATAATGTCACCAGAGACTCCAGTTTTTTCTTAAAGCCCATCACCTCTTACAAGGAAATATATCTCAATCGGGGGCATTACGGAAATGTGATTACCAGGAACAATGAAATTAACAATGCAACAAAAATTATGTATATTTGATCGCAGGCACGGAGCACATGTTATCAAAGTTCATCAGGACAGTTTTTCCTACAAACCACAGCCAATATTTTTTCACAAATCAGTACATTCTACTAGCAGTCCCAAAGCTCTTGTGTAACAGAAAACAATAAAAGCTTCAACAGTGTCCTCAACAATGTAAAACCAAAGTTGCCGCCTCATCTAATTCCGGGTAATTAGACAAAAGTTGAGCCGAGCTCGAGCTGAGCTCGAACTATTGTACTTAATTATCGAGTCGAGCTCGAGCCTCATAAATCGTGCTCGACGAGCTGAAAATTCAATCCCGCTCGATAAGGCTAATACATGCTCGGCTCGGCTCGGCTCGTTTGCAGCCTTATTCAGAAAACACAAAAACGCATAATTTTTTTTTTTTTAAAAAAAAAGATAATCATAAAATACTGTTACCCAGTTTTAGTTTCGTGTTGGGCTGCACTACCACTGGTTTCTGCATCATCAACAGAAAAGTCATCCTTTGTTGCAGAAAAAACATCATTACGCCTCGAGAAAGTGAAGCCAGAGTACGTTCGAGGAATCACGAATCCCTGGGAAAGATAAAAACCCCTGCTCGTTGATAAGCATGAAGGTGAGTTTTTGTGGGTTATCTTATGGGACAATGGAGCTGAGCAGCTGAGCTTGGACATAGCCATTGTTGGGCAATTACATGTCGCCATATGCTTTTGAGGTGGAGAATTTCGAGTCTGTTGCAAATCTATTAACAACGGAAAATTTTAAGGTCCCGTTACGGGATGGTACCGTTAGTATTTTACACCATTGGATACACATAAAGATTATCTTGTGTGAACTATTCCGTCAATGGGACTGCAGTAGTTTCCATTAACATAAAGTGGGATTTGAGGTGGAATATGGCGCCACTTGGATGAGACATTGGGATTTTATTCATACGAGTGAGTAGAAAACGTACTTATATTAAATTTCGTATCCTTTATATTTTTGTTAAATATTTATTATGTTTTATTATTTTAGATTTCTTTAATATTAGAATTTTATAAACATAAAATGTGTGTGAACATTTTTATTTAGGGTAATTGTTATTTTACAACCTGAACGATAACATAATTGTGTTTTCGGTATCTACTATTTATTTATGGCCAAAATACAACCCAACTTTTACGTTTTTGTGAATTTGGTACCTAATATAGCCGCCGGTTGCATTTTTCGTCTATATTCTTGTCTTACAATATATAATAATTTTAAAAATAAACAACTCATTTCTATGGCACTTAAGAGCAAGCGCAACATTTAACGATAATAAA